AGATCAGTATTTTATGTATCCATTTTTTATTGGATAACAGAGAATTTGTTGTAACATCTATCTAAAATGATACATCAACCATCACCGTTGGTCACATTATCATTTTAAAATTTATATTCGAATTGGATATTGCATGCTTGTAGTAGGCCACCGTCATCAACCAAGTTGCTTGAGGCAACCAATTGAGAAGCATACCGGTAAGTCATGTGACGCGCAAGCGCATTGTGTTAATTGCATATGGATGCCGCGCTTGTAATGACGGTTCATATCGTCGCGTCTCGTGAAAAGTGTTAATCATGTTAATTATTGTGATAAAAAATGGACGAAAGCACAATAAAATTTCTACAAGTCGTTGCACCGGAGCATGCAGACTTTTTAATCAAAACATTTCGAGGTAAGTTTTTATTATCCTTGATGAATATACAAATGCTTGACTCTAACCTCTAACCTTACTGCACATGCTTTCTGGATCATCATTATTTCCCATATTTTATTTATTTATCATTGTATTTATTTTATGCATGTTATTTGGTAGAAATTCTTTTTCTCAAAACTTTCATTCACAAGAATTTGCTTTTCGTAAAAATAGCATTTAAGAAAGTTTTCATTCGAGTGACTTGATATGTAAACAGCATGTCTTGTGTTATCAAATTATCGTGTGAGAGAAACAGCTTTATTTTCCCAAATTATTATTTTTGAATAAATTGATTTCACTGATGTCTATAAATGAATTATTATTTACCATTTAAGTGACTATATAAATGGAATCAAATAAAAAAATTTCATATCCGGTCAAGTAAATGTTGGTTTTTATAGTAAAAAAACATTTATTATCGTATCGTGTATGAAAGATATTTTTATTGAATTAAATCTATTTTTTTCTAAATATTATTAAAAAAAGGATAGATATCCCACCAATCAAAATAGTTGTACTAACAAAATTAAAGGTAACTGTGCGCAAGAGAGATGGATGAGGCATTCAACGGAATGTATATACTAGCTATCGAAATTTGTTACAGTATCCAACTTGAGAGTATGCAACAGAAATAGTTGCAGCAGAAAACTAATTTGATCGCGCTATAGAACCCAATAAAAATTGCTACCCTATCCTATACTTAGCATACCCAAACCAATTATTTCTCTCCGTGTATTTAACCCCATTACATTCACAACCAACGACCCCAAAAACCCCCGAGTAACGACTTTCAAACATATCTGATAAATTTTCCCAAAAAGTGTCCGCCATTTTGAATTTTGAAAAAATAAAAACAGATTCGTAATTAACGACCCCGAAAACCTACGACTAACGAGTTTTAAGCGAATCCGATGAATTTTTCCAAAAAGTGTCCGCCATATTGGTTTTTAGAGGTTATGTCAAAATCCTGATCTGATGGGGGGTCAAACGGACCCCGGATTCGAATTCAGCGACCCCAAAAACGTATAATAAACATAGTCAGATCTCTAGGTCAGAACTTTTCTTTTGTGTCGCTGTGTTATTATTTGTCATGGTATTTGTTTAAAATACAGAAATTATTGGTTAAAATACAGTTTGGTTTAAAAAAAAATTTCTTGGTTCAAGTAAATATTTCTACAAAACAATAATTTTTTTTGTCAAACTAATTTTATATTATATTTTATGGTTCCCTATATATTATAATTAAAATTTGACTATTCAATTTTAACGAGAAAAGTTGAGTAACAAGAGATATTAAAAAGTATATTTGCAAGTAGAGTACGAAAATGAAAAACACAAATCATAAGTGGAAGTATTTGAAGACGAGGTGTACATATATATATATATCCTATATAGTACATAAAGTGTGCAAGGAGAAAATTTTTGGCATCGTAAGACCAGAATTTGCACTTAAAGCACGATTCTCATTTGTCCTCGATGTCATATGGAATTAACAAGAATTTATTTTATCCTCTCCCTCTGGTGATTTTCATTTTTTTCACCCCCTCGCACAGTGAGATTAATATTTTACATTAGAATATAAGGCAAATGCGTGGTTCTTACTTATTGTTTTACCCAGCTGCATATTTGTTAGCTGCTGATATCTTTTTGTTAAAAAAAAAAAAAAAAAAGAAAAAAAAACAATCATCTCAGTCAGTATTTGAATATTCATGAATCTAGTTTATTCAAGTCGGCAAAGAAATTTCAATTTCACGCGCGATTGTACAGCTTCGATAGTCGATTATATTTCACGAGCAATTAAAATGCACGACCCGTATATATCTATTTTAATTGAGATAAAAGAAAAATTGCATTTTTTGTTTCACCAAATAATAATAATAATGTCAATATTATACAATTTTTTATTAAAAATGTTAAATGAAGATTTTTTGATCCGCATAGGGTTTTGGGTGTATATATATGAAAAAAGTTTGATGTAAATTTTACATTTGGAATTCATATGCAGCGTAGTGGGATCTTTTGAATTAGGCAGATTTTCAAATGAATTTTAATGAAGTTGAAATTTACAGTGTAAAATGTTCTTTTGATGTTTTTTTTCTTCTTCTATTTTCTTTTGAGGTTGAGATTATTTAGAGGAAAAGCTTTACCTTTGGAGAAAATGCAATTTAAAGATATATATATATATATATATATATTTTTATACAAATCTTGAGACTCATAAATATTCCCTAAAACTCATTAGTTGGAATTTTACAGTAGATCTAATGGCGAATTTTAGTTTAAATGAATTTTATAAAAGAATTACAAATATTAAACCGAATTTTATAAAGTAAAATTCATAGTATATAGAAGTTAAGTATAGAATTTTTATTTTAAAAACATTCTCTTTAAAAATATATGAGCAATTCCACGTTAGATTGAGGGGTCTATCCTCCGATTCCTTCTATACTATTTTTTTGGGTAGAGGTTATGGGTCTAATTGAGTAAAAAAAATATTTAGGGGAGAGTGGGGCAAAACCGTGTACCTTTTTGGAATTCTCGGTTTACAAAGAATCTATCAAATAAATTAGTTCAAATCTCGTTGAAAATTCTTCCTTGAACATTAGAGAATGAGAAAATAAGGTCAATTGCATGAAAAAAAATTTTTTGATCAATTTAAATGAGGTTTTTCAAAAAAATGCAAAGTGCCCGGTTTTGCCCCGATGGTGGGGCAAAACCGGGTACTATCAAGAAAATATATAAATCATTGAATATTCTTTAACTTTTTGTTCAATTATTATTATATATCACTTAAATTATAGAAAATAATTAATATTCAATAAATTTAATTAAAATATATTGTATATTAATAATGAATAACAGCAGTTAAATCTTTTAAACCGAAATTTTTCATATTTTTATTAATTTTTTATCGTTTATTTATCGATATGGTAAATAACTGATATATCGCAAGTTAAACATCGATATCGGAACATACATGTCGATTCTTTATGGAGAAAAAATTTAAATATGCATAGTGTAATGTATTTATATATATATATTCGGTTTTGCCCCATCGTTTGGTACCTGGTTTTGCCCCGGACTGCATTTTTTAACAAAATGTAAATTTTTATATAGTGGTTATATAATTAAAATGATGTTGGTTGTAATATAAAAGATATATGTAATTAGGCGACACAAATGGAAATACCTATCATGGAAAACTGGGGGTACCCGGTTTGACCCGCCTACCCGATTTTACCCCACTCTCCCCTATTATTTTTCGAGATATTTGCATTAAAAAATTAGAGCAACTTTTTTTTCAATTATTCATAACTTTTTCACTTTTAGTCAAAGCAAAAAGTTTCTTAAACATTTTTTGCTCAGAAAATATTAAAGTTTAAGAAAAAACATTAATTTTAAAAAATTAAATTTGTTTTTAATTTTTAAACTTGTTATCGGGCTCCGTTTAAGCTGAAAAAATTCATGAACATTCCTTAATATGAGCCAAAGACATGTGCTTATCAAAATCTGCATCCAACGAGCCCTTTATGAACTAAATGACTAAAAGTGAAAAAGTTATGAATAATTGAAAAAAAAGTTGCACTAATTTTTTAATGCAAATATCTCGAAAAATAATATATATTTAAAAAAAAATTTTTTTTACTCAATTAGACCCATAACCTCTACCCAAAAACGTAGTATCACAGAAAAAACCTGAACTCAAAATGATAGCGTATGCTACTCATTTTGATATGCAGCAAAAATGAGTCAGGTTGGTGGCGCCACTGTCTATGTCGTTTAGCATTGACTCATTTTTGCTGCATATCAAAATGAGACTTAGTTTTTTCTGTGATAGAAGGAATTGGAGGATAGATCCCTTAATCTCACGTGGAATTGCTCATATATATTTTTTTTTCTTAAATTTTAAAGCAATTATGTATTGAAAACTATCGACAAACATAAACTTTGAACATGAAAAAGCAAACTGTAATCTCTTATTTTTAATATTTAAAAATTTTATTACAACTGCACATATATATGTTGATAACTGTCAAGCTCTCTAAATCTGAATTAGTAAAAATGTTTACTAATTTGAATTAGTGACTCACTTTTTGCTTCTGAATTAGTAAAATTTTACTAATCATTAGTAACTTTTACTAACAATTAGTAAAATTTAACTAATTCTAAAACAAAAAGTGAGTTACTAATTTAAATTAGTAAACATTTTTACTAATTCAGATTTAGAGAGAGGATTTTCGCAATTAAAGTCTGGAAATTTTTTAAATTAATATAAAATTTAATTACCTAAATGAAAAATTAATTTAGATTTAAGCATCTTTCCAATTTTTATGGGCAAAAGATAATTTTCATATGAAAAAAGGAAGAAGTTTTTTTAATATTTTCAAATGAAAATTTTAAAAATTTATTATCGTTTATTCGAAAAAAAATTGTACTGTGCTATACGTAATTGAAATCATTCGAGATTATTTTGCAATGAAAAGTAATATTTTTAATGCCGTTCTTTTTGTCGATAAAAAAATACATATAAATTATCACAAAAAAACTATAAAAACGTTTTTAGTATAAATAGCAGTGCAATTCAACTATAGATTTACTCGAATACAAAATTCGTCGCAACTGTGAAAATAAATTTCATAAACGACTCGTTTCTAGTTTTGTTTTATACTTTGTAAAATTATAAATACAAAAGTAGATTTCAATATTCAACATGAAACTAACAATTTCTGCAATTTGTTTTATTTTGTGTGTTATTATTAATAATTATGAATTGGTTTCTGCTGTTAGTGATAGTTATGAGATTTATGGTTTAAAAGGTAAGAAACAAGAAGCTGCGCAGGTAAAGTTTTGTTTGATTTCATAGATCGACAAAAAAAATAAAAAATTTTTAAGAGGAGGCACCACCCCCAATTTTTTTTCTTGCATAATTTGGGTCCTAAAAACATACAGGATGGTGGAAAAAAATAAAATTTTAATTTTTGACCATTTTAGAAATTGAAGTCTTAAAAAAATTAATATTTTCAATATCTATTTTTTTCACAATTTTGACTATTTTTCATCGCCAATTTTTTTCCACGCTTTTTTTTTTAATGATTCTTAAGAATCTCTTGCATGGATTTTCAAAAATTTTAATTTTTTCAAAAAATAAAAATTCTAAAATGGTCAAAAATTAAAATTCTCTTTTTAATTTAATTTATACGAGATACTGCTCAAGAAAATAAAAAAAGAGTAATAGAGTTCACTTTTAACTTTTTTCCCACTTTTTTGTCAGCAAATAAGCAGTATCTTAAATTAAAAAGGCAAATTTCATGATGACTTGTGTTCTTAATTAGTGATCAAATGGTAAAAATTATTTTTCTATAATCGTGCTCAAATTTAGGTAATTTGTAATTCTATTGAATGTCAATATTTTGTAAAAAAAAAAAAACAATTTGTAAAAAAAATGTTAGTCTCTCCTCTAAAAAAAAAGTAAGTTTTTTTTACTAATTTGGTTTAGTAGTTTTTTTTTCAAAAAAATGCATTTTATTAATTGAAAGGGCGTCAGAAAAGTTATCGAAATTAATATTGAAAGAATTTTTTTATTTCATTATTTACTTGAAAAAATAATAACAGTATAAGCGTGATAGAAAAGAAACATTTTTTTTCATCTTGATCACTTCAAATATGAAATCCCTTATTATATAGTAATTAAGTATGTTCATATTGTAATCATTGAGATATATAAAATTATTTAAAAATTAAATTTCCATTTATAAAACAAAAGGTAATTTTTTTTAGATAAATGCGTAACTGGGGAAAAAAAATCATTGCTTTCAAATGAAATTAAATATTATAAATGTAAAGATGGATTTAGAAGATTTTACAATTTAGAAGAAGCAAGAAGTAACTAAGGATCTTATTGAACTAATATTATACAATATAGTTATAATAGTAGATTACTAACATAAAAGTATAATTTTATTTCTTTCAAATTGCAGAGATATGTATTAAAATGAATGATGATGGTTGGTTTGATTGTTCTAAATATGATCCTGAAGTTGGTTTAAAAAAAATGGAAGATATTGAAGGTAAAGTCTGATTTGATTTTTAAGTACATAATGATATATTTATGAAAAATAAAAATATCGAGCAAGTGCAAGTTGCACTTAAATTTTCGGGTATTGTCACTATGATTCACTATGATTTTCGTAATCAGCGCATCAAAATACATAAAAGTACGTAGTATAAAAGAAAACCAAAAATATTTAAAAAATTTTTTTTTAAATTCCGAAAATATTGAAAAAATTGTTTGCCCACGATCGGACTAAGGCTTAAAATTTTCGTTACAGGGAAGTAGTTTTTAATTTTTTAATAATCAATCAGTATGTCAATTGAGAAGAATGACTTTTAGTTTTTAAAACTTAAAAATTTGTTAGTATGTATTGTAAATATTTAAATGTACAAAATTATTTAAAAATCAAATGTCTATTTATAAAATACAAATAAATTTTTTTAGCGGAATGTATAGTGAAAAAAAGACGAAAGTTATATATATGTTATGGAAGGGGCTTTGAAACATATACTAGCAAGATGGATGCACAAGGTAACTAAGGATTTTATTAAAACCAATGTAATAAAATAATTAATAGTAGATTACTAAATAGAAGTATAATTTTATTTCTTTCGAATTGCAGAGAAATGTATTAAAAAAGGGGATGATGGTCTTTACTACTGCAACATGCTAACAAAAAATAAGTTATTTAAACAACTAAGCGAAATAATTTAGAAATGTGACAAGTCATAAACAATTCGACAGAATGGCAAAATATCTTAACAGTTTTTGACAAAAATACAGCTTCTATCCCTAAGGCACAAATATGGCGTTTTTAGATACCTGACGTCCGGGTTAAAAAAATGACTATGATAATAAAACTAAAAAAAAAAAATATATTTGTTATAGCAATCTGAAAAAATGTTTGTTAATTGGAATTTAAATAAAATGATTCAAAATGTAAGAATACAATAACTTTTTTCATACCTCGATAATCTTCCTAAAAGAAAAATTATTTAATTTCCAAAAAAAAAATTACTTTATACTTTTGATATAATTTTTTAATAAAATTATAATGTATCAAAATAAATTTAAAAAAAAATATAATGCTTTTAATATGGCGTCCAAACAAATAATAAATAATAGATAAAACTGATAGAACTGTTTAAAAGTTCAATAAAAGAAAAAACGTGAAAGAATTTATATTTTTGACAAAATAAGTTATATTATTCCAAACATTTTTAATTCAAATCATTCAAAGTTGCAATTTTACAATGGATGAATTGTTTCTACTTTGAATGTTTTTAAAAATTAATTTTTCTTGAAACTAAAAAAAATCAATTTCAAAAAATACTCAGAACTGTCATGATCTTTTTGATTGGATTTGAATTAAAATATGTTTGGAATGATATATAACTTATTTTGTCAAACATAAATTCTCACAAGTTTTTTCTTTTATTGAACTTTTAAACAGTTCTACAATTTTTCTTTTTTACTTTTTTTATTTATTACTTTTTAGGACATCATAATAAAAGCATTCTATTTTAAAAAAGTTTTTATTTTCTCACATTATATTTTTATTTATTGTATGTCTGTAGACAAAATTTTTTCTGACAATAACTCGAACAAATTTTAATGAATCGACTTAAAATTTGGTATACACTTTAAGTGTACCAAAATATCGCCTGAGTTCGTTGGTCAAATAATTTCGTCAAAAGAACAAAAAAATTATTTAAATTTTGAATTTAAAAAAATTTTAAAAATTCGCATTTTTCAAAAAAAAAAAATTTTTAATTTTTTTTCGAAAAACACGACTAATAATAAACACTTTTTTCCTTTGACATTTTTTAATAGCGATTAAAACAAAAAAGTTATACCTTTTTTTTTAAAAAAAAAAAAAGACAAAAACGTATGAAAAATGGGTAAAATGCAGAGCAAAATTAATTCGATTAGTTCCGCTTAATAGAAATTTGTCTTGATAAAAATTTTGTTGAACAAAATATTCGGCTTAATGAAAATTCAGCTAAATGAAAATTGATTAGAAATTCTTAACTAAATTTATTTGTGACAAATTAAAAATTTTATTCACTTAAAAATTAGTTTAACAAAAATTGTATGTCATAGAAAATTTCGCTAAATTTGTTACAAATAAAAAAAATAAATAACCAACAAAAAAACAACTGAAACAAAATTTTCATTTCCCGTATTTGAAAGACAATTATTATTATTATTATTATTTTTATTATTATTATTATTATTATTGTTGTTGTTGTTGCCTTGGGGGAAAAATGAAGAAACAGAAAATGAAAGATCACTATAAAAGCTAGAAATTTTTTTTTCTTTTTAAGTAATTTGTAAAGAAGTTGGTTCTTTGGTGGTATTGGTATTCACAAAACGATCTTGAATTGACTTGAGTATTTTCTTCTTTTTCACTCTCTCTTTCTCTCTCTTACTCTCTTTTTTTCTTTCTCTTTTTCTCATTTCATGCCAGTTCCTCTGTAAATCCTTCGAGAAATCTTGGACATCGATAGCCGTGCAGAATGATAAAAGTATTCTTTTCTTATATTCGCACGATATGCGATGGTTCGAGAGTTTTTCGATTGTATATATATATATATCGAGATATATTAGAAGTCGAGCGCGAAGGCGGACTGTTTGAGCACGAAAAATGTACGTGATCGCTCTTTGCGTCCTGCTTAGAATCGAAAATTTCCATATTATAAGAGAATATCAGCTCTTGAACAATATTCAAACTTACATCATCAAGATTTATTGTTGAATTTATTGAAATCCCTTTATATAATCAGAATATATTGAATATTATAAATTTTAATACTTTTTTTTTTATAAAAGCAATTCTTCATCTAATCATTCTTCATTTTTATTATTATTATCATTATTTTTTAGTATAAATACGCCGGGTCCAGCAGACCCGTTGTGCCATTTACGTTCGAACGCGAAGTTGTGTCAGTTAAGGGTTAAGGGACCATTCATTAATTATGTAAGGACGATTTTGGCTAATTTTGAATCCCCCTACCCCCATGTAAGAGTACATAAAATTTTTCGAACCCCCCCCCCTCCCCCTTCTTACGTAAGTTTTTAACAATATTAATGTAATTAAAAAATTAATAACAAACAATACAAATAATGGAAAATACTTGGCTAAATCTTACGTAAGAATAGCTTCTACCCCCCCCCTCCACCCCTCGACGTTAGACCATGTAGAGATTTTATAACCCCCCCTCCCCCTAAGAACCCTTACGTAATTAATGAAAGGCCCCTAATTGTAAAAATTATTTAAACAAAAAATATGTGACGCGCTCCAAGGAAAGGTATCTAAAAAGCAAATCATTTTAAGGTTATGTTTGTCGTAATTTTACCTTAATTAAAAGTTTATTTTTTTATTATGTAAAGTAAAATCAGTTTTTATTGAATATTTTCAATGTTATGAATATGTAAACACCAATAATAATTTATATTGAGAGTTGATTCTCTTTGTGTTTATTTTTACTTTAAAAATCACAAACATAACCTACAATTTTTTGCTTCTTAGGTACCTTTCCTCGGAGCGCGTCATATATTATTATTTGAAATTTTCAAATTACTTTTTTCTATTTGTGTAATGAGTATTAAAAGTATTTAAAAATTTATCTTGTAATTTCAAATAGTAATAAGAAAATTTTAGTTTTCTCTCTAAAACTGAATTAGTCAAAAATATAGGGAAACCCACGTATATCAAACCCTCATTATTCAGATTCCCGCTTACATTGGTTTTTTTCCGATCCCTTGAATTTTCCTATATAAGTTTGTGTTAAAATATCTGCTTACATTGGACCCCGTTATATCGGAAACCCGCTTACAACGAACCAATTCTTAGACCCCTTGAGTTAAATTTTTCTCCTTATACAATCAGATTATTTGTTCAAATTGATAAATGGTTAAAAAATTAATAAGATGGTAAAAAATTTTGAAAAATAAAAATATAAAAAATTACCGACCTAGAAATCTACATTACCGACTGGTGGTAAATAAATTTTATTTTTAAAAATGTATATATAAAAATTACCGACATAGGAATCTACCTTACCGACTGATGTCAAAGGATTTTTTGTGATTTTACCAACTTTTTAAAAACTGTTTTACCCTTAATCGGTAATAACTAATTTTTGTTTAGTGAAACACATTAATTTAAATTTAAATGGAGAGCGAAATTAATTCGAGTTATTAATTTATTCAAAATTGATCACTCCCTACGTCAGAAAGACCCATTCTCCCCTATATATATTATATATGTATATATGTTCACAAGAGAGTGATCTAATGAAATATGGTATTTTTTTATTAATGATATTACAACTTCTTACAAAGCTCTTATATATGTGAGGAAGGAGAGAGAGAGAGAGAGAGAGAGAGAAAGGAACTTGAGCAAGTTCACGTCAAAGCAATAAATTTTATATTTTAACGATATTTTTATTCTTCAATTTATGATCGAGGCTCGATACACACTGATCCGGTTGGCAATCTGGGTAATAAATTTCTCTAAATATAGATTCTTGCAAGGCGCCATGTGTTATAGTTTGATGTCGAATTTATATTAAAAAAAATATATATTTTTCTGTCAAGATGTAGCAAACAATCTTTTATGGACTTAAATGGAATTATTCATGGAAATATAATTTTCATGACATTTTACTTTATGTTTTTGCGGTCGCTGAAACCGAATTTCAAGTCGGTTTAACCCCATCATGTCAGGTATTTGACATAACCTCAATAAAACCTCAAAATTCGTCCTTAAAATTTTAAAATCAAGAAAAATTCGGATCTATAAGTCTTACCGAATTTGAGGTTTATTTAATCCCATCACTTCAGGCTTTTGAAAAAACAAAAAATCCCAAATCTAACCCCAAAATTTTGAAATCTAGAAAAATTCTGATTTGTAAAAGTCTTACATGTTTACTTTATGTTTTTGGGGTCGCTGAAACCAAAAAATGAGATTTCTTGACCCTATCACGTCAGGCTTTTGACATAACCTCGGAAAAATTCAAAAATTTGATTTTTTAATGCTTCTTTTAAGGTTATGTCAAAAGCCTGATGTGATAGGTTTAAATAGACAACACCCAGTGGATAAAGCACGATTGGCTGAATATTGGTTCAATATTGGGAGCACTTTTGCCAATCTTGGTCCATTATTTTAGCCAATATTGGCCCAAGTCTGGGAGTGTAGAGACCAATGCCAAGGCTTGAATTTTAATATTAACCCAATATTAAAAAATACAACAAATCAGACTCCAGCCAAGATTAAAAAAATTAATTATTAAAACTGAAATATAATAAAATTTTTTGTTATATTTATATATTATATTTTATTATATATTATAACATTATTATTTTCCTTCGGATCAAGGGTTATATATAAAATCATCCGCAATAACCGGAGAAAAAGAAAAAAAATATTTTCTAACGTCCTGCTAGGCATTATAAAACTATCAGCTAAAAAAAGAGAGATGTGAAGATTCTGTACATATCGCGGATACTTATACCCTAACCGGTTGATGTTGTTTATGAGAGAGAAAAACACTGCCATCTGGCGGATAGTTGGAAAGTTACCGTAACGCCAAATTCAAATTGCGTGAAGGAAAAACTGTAAGTATAAAGAATTAAAATTAAGAAAATTATTTGTGACCATTATAACATTAATTAAGTTTTGTTTAATGCAATAGAATGCATTCTTAAGTAAATACATTTTCAAGTAAATGTTTATACTTACAGTTTTTCCCTCACGCAATTTGAATTTCGCGCTACGTTAACTTTCCAACTATCCGCCAGATGGCAGTGTTTTTCTCTCTCATAAACAACATCAACCGGTTAGGGTATAAGTAACCGCGATATGTACAGAATCTTCACAATATCTCTTTTATTTAGCTAATAGTTGTTAATGCCTAGCAGGACGTTAGAAA